TATTTGTCCGTTTGTTTGGGTCAATTAAAGAGCTTTAAAATTAACATTTTAAAGCATTTCAAAGCTAACGTTGGATATGGAGTAAGATTTTATTAAAGGAAATTTTTGTTTCTACTGACTTTTTGCTGACAGTACTCCAAGTGTTTCATTTTTCAGACGGTTATTGTGTACAGGAAAAGAAGTTATTTGTTCGAATGACTTATTGCAATTACTTGCTTCATTAAGTAAATGCGATCCTAAAAGATAATATGGTTAGGCTTATCTTTTTTACATTAATGCTAACTAAATAGTACTTCTTCTTAATATTAAATATATTAAAGAATAAATAAGAGGTATCAGATCTTTACCTATATCAAAATAATATAACCCTCTTACCAATTTTATTCGAAGAAATTTGCAATTGAATAGCTGCGTCCGTACGATAGTTGTGTATTATACATCTAGGTCTGTTGTATATAAATAGGCAATCTGCTGGAAATAAATAATAATTTTTAAGAAAAAGGGTACACTTAAAGTCTAAAAAGTACTTACTCTACCCCAAAGACTGGATTTTTTATTTTAGATACATAGGGCCGCCCTTATGGCATAAGATTGGCTCTATATAAATAAAAAAAATCCTGAAACTTGTTCGTTAAAAAAAAAGAATTTTAAAAATCGATGTTCAAATTATTGGCAAAGATATGACGTAACGTCCTCAAAAAATATGGGCGATGTGAGTCCTCCTCTCTCATTACTTTATATTTGGAGTCGGTCAGTAAAATATATAAAAAATATTAATATCTAACTTACAAAAGACCTAATAGTAATAATCCAAAAAACGTTTTACCCCATTTCTAAAGTCATATAAAAATATAATAAATTATATTTTTAGAGCAGATTTACATTTTTGATGCTCCGCCACGATTTAATAATAGTAATTAATCGAAGAATAAATAAACCCTGAAGCTTAAAAGTAATTATTCCCGTGTCAGGATTTTAGTGAAAAATCCTATTGGAGTAAACAGTCCGTGTGATTGGTTTTAACCACAATGCCACAACAGCAACAACAGAATTTGGAAAAAACTGTGAAAATTGGGGACCTGATTTTATATTTATGTATAAGTCATCATGCAGCCAACAACAAATCTAAATGACTTTATGTATAGACAACTTAGAAATTGGTCTGAATAGTGACGTAGGCTTTCAAACGAAATGAGATCGATTTAGTTGAAATTTCTTGTTAACGACTTTAAAACATACCATTGAGCACATAATCCGATTTTGCCAAAATCAAGCAGAATAGAGAGGAATCGAAAAGAAACGAGTTACATCCTACCCGATAAATGGATTTTATTGTAGTATCATCATTTTAAGTATAATGTCCCCCAAAACTAGACTAGCCATATCATAGTGCACACATATCTGCTTATACCCAAGGCATTCAATCGAAGAAAGATCAGGCGAAGGGCCGACGGCCTTACACGGTCTCTGGGGCATGACGTAAATAAGTAAACCCAATACCTACACTACCGGAACTCAAACCCCATAATCGTAATAATATACTACATTATTTTACATAAAAACAATAAGTATATAAAATATACAATTTTTATCATATACTAGCGACTTACCCTCGTTTCGCTCGGGTGCGTCTCTAGTATCTACGTAGGCGGCTATTGTTTACAATTTTTAACTTTTTTTGCGAAATTTTTGTTGTTCTTTTTTCTTAAATAAAAGTAGCCTTAGCTATTTCTTATAACATCAGCTATTTGAAAGAGAAATGCCCGTCAAAATCGGTCCATCCGTTTCGGAGATTAGCCGGAACAAACGGACGACAAATTTATTTAGTTTTTTTATTCTTATAAGTAGGTGCCATATAGGTACGCTTTCATATGCATTTAGTAAAAAACTGTTATTTTGAGATTACAAACATACACATAAATTTTATTTATTTGTTTATATAATAACAGGAATTCTAATGGTTTATCAATAAAATAAATCGTCATTTTCAGTAAAAACCTAGTTGACTCAGTAAGATATATATCACTTTGTTATATTTGAATTGTCATGTGAAATATATAAAACGTAAAGAAGAGCAAATAGTTTGCGATGCAGACTTTTAATAAAATCAATAAGCTGAAATGTTGTCTGTTTGTGATGTCAAAGGAGAAAGAATGAAGTTTTTCAATAATTTTTATCTATCAGTCCTTTCATTCCAGTAATAGAAACACTTAATAAGATAAATCCTTGACATTTAGGTATCTATAGTCAAATAAAATTGATTCTATCGAAAAAGCTCTACATTCATATATCTTATTCATGACAAAATTTGTTGATTTTGGGATCAAAATTGAACCTTAAATATCTTTATTTATAATTTTTAAATTTGGACTATCAACACCCCAAGATAAATTTCTAAGAAATTAATTAAATTTCTAAGAAATCTATTATTAACTGTAACGCCGGTATTTCCGCGGTCGTGGAGGGAATAATAATAATAGCAACTTACCTTCGCTTCGCTTGGGTGCGTCCCTAGGCTTCAAACAGTAGCATCAAGTTAGTCTATTTTTGTACTACATCTAAATACGTGCACTCCTTTAAGCGTTAAGTAACAAATATACAAACATACACACGCGCAGTCATACAAACATGGGCGTACCCAGGTAGGGGCAGGGGGGGGGGCTGCCCCCCTCTGGATCGTGTATGTCTACGTACCTACTGTTGTCGATAAAGTTATGTTTGAGTCAGGTTACGAGTCAACGTGCGTTCACCTTGTCGTGGTGGGGGGGCTCAGTAGTGCCCGGCAATCCAACCGGGCGCGAAGCTAAGAAACGCACAGGGAGGTTGCCCACTTCGGTGGGCGGTGGGAGGTGGCCCTCTTCGGGGGGCGGTGTACCATGCGGGTTGCTCCTGGTACTTCTCTGATAGCAGAGTGGACTGTGGAGCAACCCCATGGTTGTGGTGGTCTGCTTCGGCAGACCTGCCGTCGGGGCGTCGTAGTTGAATGCGTAAGCGATCCTGCGACGCCTCATTAAGACGGGGGAAGGTTTTGTTGGGTTTTAGTGGGTAGTACTGGCTGTATTACGCCGGTGAGTCCCACACGTCGTGCGTAAATGCATTTCCCAACGTTAAAAAAAAAAAGGTTACGAGTGTTACGAATTACTTTACAATATATTATGAGTTAACATTTATAAAAATTGCGCTCCGCGCTCGGTCAACTTGTATTCATACAACACGCTAGAGCATCAAACGACCTGTGGGCTCCACGCTCGTCAGCCTATCTAGTCTAGCGTTTGTGTACTGGCCTGTGAGCTCGTATTTGACATGTTATTGTTTTGAAAGGGCCAAAAGTAGGTGACGAAAAATAATCAATGCCCATATCTATACATATAATAAATTGTAACTGATCGCTGTCTGTACATAGAAGATATTTGAGATAAACTATTATTGGGGGTTTTTATTACCCCGATAGAACCCAAAACAATGATTTTTAGATTTTTTTTTGTTTGACTGTGCGTTTGTGCGTGCTAATCTCAGAAACGGCTTAACCGATTTGTATGGGCTGGCACCGATTTCGAAAATATTTGATTAGGTATGTATTTAATAGGTAGGCTTTAATTACTTAGCCAAAGCACACCGACTTCGAAAATATTTGATTATGTATGTATAGTAAATGAAAACTACCAATCAGTTATTTTTTACTTTTTATTGCTTTTGTTTGAAGTCGGTTTTTATTTTTTTGTTAAAAAGATTTTATTTTTCCCATTTTAGTGTAGACAGTAGTAGCAAAGTAAGATTTCTAACGTGTTAGGCTTGTCAAATCAAACAAAATAAGCCCAAACTCAAAGTATCTACTATTAGCCGTTGAAGAGTTCCACCTATCCACCTTCGGGCCTTACCATCAGATCACTTCTTCTCAGAGACTTCTTCGTTATGACCGGACCGCAACATATTTAAGGTATACATTTTATACATTTTAAATGCTAAAAAGAAAATATAAATAGTCTAAAATCAACGCGAATTAACAAAACACTTCTGTCTTATAGCAGCTGTGAGCTGATTCTAAACTTTAAAGTTATAGACGCCACTTTTTTAGCGTTAACTCAAGGGTCTCGCCGTTCGTTTAGATAGCGTTAAAGAACTTAGATTTGAATTCTCAAGCGCTTGTCAAACGTGCAACTTGGCTACCATTTTGTATGAGATCTTGTGATCCACATTGTAGAATCGCTCAGTTCGTTTCTATTTTTAGAACGAACTATGTACCTTGTAAACTTGGCTACGAATTTTCAATTCGATCGTTTTGACCACGTGACATATCGTTCAAAATACGTAATGCCCATACATTTCATTAGTTTTCTAAATCGTTAACGATTGTAGATAGTCAACATGGCTAAGCCCCCAGGTCAACAATACCGAACCACTGTACTATCAACGGAAATAGAAACACTTGCAAATTTTCAAGTCAACATGACAATTAGAAGTAGGTTCATCATTAGCTATTTTTCCACCCTTAGGGGTGGTATTTTTTGTTGAAATTTAAATGGGACCAATCTGGAAGTTTACACTTTCAAATAACACAAAAATTGTCCAAATCGGTTAATAAATGACGGAGTTCTGAGGTAACAGACATAAAAAAAATACAGTCGAATTGAGAACCTCCTCCTTTTTGAAGTCGGTTGATAACTGATTGTTAGTTTTCATTTACTATACATACCTAATCGAATATTTTTGAAGTCGGTGTGCTTTGATTTGTATCGACTGGCACCGACTTCGAAATTATTTTTGTCTGTGTGTCAGTTGTCTGTATGTCTGTTTGTCTGTTGGGTGTGCGCGTTTCACGAAAAAGTACTGAACTGATTTTAACTTAAATTTGTGTACTGATAACTTATTACTCGGGTTAGGATATTTAAGATATCTTTTACTGCAGGGAAAAAAAGAAAAGGGAGAAGAGCGGAGCGGAGAGGAGCGAGAAGAGAGGAGCCTGTTGTTGAGATTTAGCCTGTCTCTTGCATTTCTTTTTAGCAAATCTCCGCCTTTCTGCTGCGCTTGTCTATTTCGCCTGTCTTCCCCTCTCCTCTTTTCTCATCCCCTCTCGCCCCTCTCCTCTCGTCCCCCTTTTCTCTTTAAAAAAACAAACACATCTATATTTCATATTAATACTTTTTGTTTGTCTGTGTAACTGTTTCTTTAACTGTTTGTTTGTTTAACTGTGAATTTGCTTAACTGTCAGTTAGTTTAACTGTCAGTAAGATTAAAGTTAATTTAACTGTCGGTTAGTTTAACCTCCAGTTAGCTTAACTGTCAGTAAGATTAAATGTCAGTTAGCTTAACTGCCTGTTCGTTTATCTGTCAGTTAATTTAACTGCCAGTACGTTCAACTGTTTGTTTCATTAACTGTCAGTAAGCTTAACTGTCAGTTAGGTTGACTGTCAGATTGATTAACGGCTAGTAAGCTTAACTATCAGTTAGTTTAACTGTTAGTTAGTTTAACTGTCAATAAGTTTAACTGTCAGTAATGTAACCATTAGTAAGACTAACTGTCAGTTTTATTAACAGCTAGTAAATTTAGCTGTCAGTTAATTTAACCGCCAGTAAGTTAAACTGCCAGTAAGTTAAACTGTCAGTTAGCTTGACTGTCAGTTAGGTTAATTGTCAGTTTGTTTAACTATCAATAAGTTTACTGTTAGTTTGATTTACAGTCAGTAACGGTAACTGTCAGTTAGATTAACGGTTAGTTTGGCAAATGGCTAGTAAGGTTAACTGTCAGTTAATTTAACTTACAGTAAGTTAAACTGTCAGTTTCACTTACTGTCAGTAAAGAGTAAAGGTAACTGTCAGTTTGATAAACAGCTAGTAAGATTAACTGTCAGTTAATTTAACTGCCAGTAAGTTTAACTGTCGGTTTGTTTTACTGTCAGTAATATAACTGTCTGTAAGACTATCTGTCAGATTTATTAACAGCTAGTAAGTCTAACTGTCAGTTAATTTAACTGCCAGTAAGTTAAACTGTCAGTTAACTTGACTGTCAGTTATATTAACTGTCAGTTAGATTAACTGTCAGTTTGTTTAACTGTCGGTTAGTTTAACCTCCAGTTAGCTTAACTGTCAGTAAGATTAAATGTCAGTTAGCTTAACTGCCTGTTCGTTTATCTGTCAGTTAATTTACTGTTAGTTAGATTTACTGTCAGTAACGGTAACTGTCAGTTTTATAAACAGCTAGTAAGATTAACTGTCAGTTAGATTAACTGTCAGTCAGTATAACCTTCAATTAGTTTAACTGTCAGTTACTTTAACTACCAGTAGGTTTAACTCTCAGTTTGATTGTACTGTCAGTAAGGTTAACTGTCAGTTAAATTAACTATCAGTTAGTTTGGCAGATTCATTTTCAATGTACTCTAAGGTCGTGGCAAACACGAGATCTGTGATTTTTTTTGTTTGAATTACCCTATATAATACAAACTTTCGGATTTATTATATTATTAATAACAATACTAACTTTATTCATAAAAAAGAAAAATATAGAAAGAAAAAGAACATAGAACTTAGTAATTTTACAGTAAAGGCTGAACAGCTGAACGAAAGCTTTTACGGTGAAGTACTGTACCTACTCCTTGCTAAGTATAATCTGTATTGGCCCGATTACTATTCAAGTAGGTATTTTAATTGAGGATCTTATTAACATTCATTAATTATACCTTTATTATCGTTATTATTATTTAGAATCGTTGTGATTTGAAACTCGATGAAACGGAAATGCGACACGAGAAAGAAATAAACATAGGATAGGATTAAGGCAGCGAGAGAATAAAATAGAATACATTGCCATTTTGTCATGGTAACCGTTGTTATTGTCTGACAAATATATAATATTATATTTTTTTTTGTATATGATATTCTTTAAATATATGATTGTAATATGCCTTATTTAATTATTGATTTGTTTTAATTTAATTGCCATATTTGAAAAACAAGTTTTACTTCAACCGCGCGTATAGGTTACACGCAAACATTTTTTTACTACGGATACGTTTGTGTCATCAAGAATAAGGATTATAGTGAGTCATTTTAGGCACCTATATCTATCTCAGGTAGGCGGGCAAAGCCATGTAGTAATAACTATACCATATATTACTTTTAAACACTTTTTTAACTTATTCTTTCACGATTCAATTATTCGTTTATCGCTCAAAGCTCATCAACCAAGTTTATTTATAAGAAATCGATTTCTTACCTGTATTTTTGAATGAACATAATTCACCACACGGTATTATACTAGGTAGTATATGACGAGAAGTTAAGGCAAAATTCGATTTATATTCACGTTCTTCAGTGTAATTGACTCCTGAAAGTTTAGAATATACGAAAAAGTCTATGTTTATAAATAAAACATTTATGAATAAAATAGACGATAATAGAATGAGTCGAGAATTAAGTAAGAAGAAGACTTGAAATATTTTTCAGATCAAGATTAATAATGTTATGTAGACTCAAGTGTAATCCATTAAACGGTTTGAGAGGAAATGATATATATACATTATACATATCTTTAATTTTTGGTATTTATGGCATAGTAGTATACGTTCGAAAATACAGTTTAATTCCTTTTTTTCTTCTTCTCTTTTCTTCTTCTCTTTTTTTCTTAATTTTTTAAGAGAACGAAATAGGATTTATGTAAAGTAAATTATGTGTAAAACAATAGCCTACCTATTTTTTTTTAGATTTAGATTCAATGTTTATCGTAATCACGCAATTACTTTTGTACTTGGGATCCAGTTTTACAATTATACCGATATTGGAACTGCGCTTGTTTGAACACTTTGACGGTTCTAGGGAAAATTGAAACAGACTATTTAAGTATATTATATAATAGACTTACCCACGCTTCGCTCGGGTGCGTCCTTTAATGGCTAAGAAACGCTTAAATGATTAACATTCACAGAAAAAAAAAATTATTTTTTTGCCCCAGGACGCTTCGCAGGCGTATTCAAAATAACGCATTAGAGTTTTATCACAATCGGATCAATGATTTAGGAACGCATACAGGACAAACATACGAACATTCATTTTTATTTATATAGATAATTATTATAGTGTAGTTTTTTAGGTATCCGGGAATATAATATGTTATATTAAATGGTTATTAAAATGTTTCTAAAGCTTTACTACTTACCGTTGGTAGTGTCATAAGATTGTAGGTATTAAAACGTTGTCAAAGACATAGAATATATCGTTCGTCATATGAAAAAAGCATTTCAACGTTCATTAAAATACATACCTATATCTTGTAAATTTGGTCGTACTTGCCCTATTGATTCCTTTAGATTGTTCATCATTGTGTCATCTAGAACCATGATCATTAGTTACATAGTGGAGAGTGTAAAATTAAAAGATATTTCTAATTTTGACATATGTAGTATCTATAGAAAGCAAATTCATAACAATTTCAGTATACAAAACTGTAATTTTATTGTACACTGGCATTGCCCGCGACTCTGCCCGCGTTCAGATGACCAATAAACCAAATTCTTAGGTTTTACATATTTTTATACTCTTACTTATATCGATGAGATATTTTCCCGCGGTTAAAAGTATCCTATATGTTGACCCGGATAACCAGCATCATCATACCAAGTTTCATCAAAATCCCTCCAGTGGTTTTTCTGTGATGCGGTAACAGACAGACAGACAAACAAAAATTCTAAAAACTATAGATTCGGCCTCTGTATCGATAATGAATAAAAATGTTTATTTCAATAAGATTTTCCAAAAAGTATTTAATGTACAGATTCGGCTTAGTTACAATTTTATTATATGTATAGATTAGTGCATAGACCAGAGTAAGGTTTCTTTATGAAGATGCAGATACATGGACAAACATTTACATACATAACGCACATGTACTACGTAGAGAGCGTCTCCTAAACGTGATTATAATAACTACATAGAGTTTGCCAAGTGGTGGTTCGACCATACATATTTTTGAGTTGAAATTATAATCATAATTTTAGGCAAACAGTTCAAAAAGCTAAAAGCATTAGCTTTTCTTATTTTCCTTCTATTTATATATATATGAATAGAATTTACCTACTTACATAAAAAAATGATTCCTATTTTTTTATGTTAACACTAATTTGATTGCAAGTCTCGTCAATAGCTATTAAAAAAAATAGTATATCGGTTGACAAACAGAGTAGAGAAAGGCATTAAAGTTTTTTGTTTTTGCCTTCTATACAGATTCTATTTTAAATGGAAAGACTATAATTAAACTAGACCCGACCCGGGACTCGAACCCAGAACTTTTGGACGTGTACCCGTACATGCTAGCTTCTACTGAGGCTATTACATATAGTATATACCTGAGGTTATTTTATCCGCCATGAGTATTTCAGGTTTATTACTTATAACTGATTTTTCATACAGTTGAGAGTAGTCTTTTGTAGGGCCATCTGTAAAGAGGTGCGAAAAATGATTTGAATATTAAATATTAGATAAACTATTATATATTAATTTTAATAATAACGTATAAATTTTCATAATGCTATTTTATTAAATTACCTGACGTGATGTTTTCTTTTGAAACCTTAAACTCTTTTCCATTAGAAGTAATTGTATCAAAATTTGATCTAACATCTTGAGCCAGTGCGGATGTCGTACATAATATTTCTTTGTGATCTTTTATAAGATGAATCTCCGTAACACTAGTGGACGGCATAACGCCTAAGAGCTTTTCAGTTACTGTACAAAGGATATTTTAGTTGATTTACTTTACCTTACTTAATTTTAATTGTATTTAAAAGTAATGTGATTTTCCATTTCTTTTATAAAAATAAGCATATTTATAATAGTTTTTTTATTTTAATTATTGGGATCACTTGTAATTAATAAATATTTAAAATTAATGCCTTTATTTTTCACGAACGTGAGCGAGAAAGAGAGAAAGAAATAGAGAGAGAGAGAGAGAAAGGGAGAGAGCGAAGGGAGGGAGAGAATGGGAGGGAGAGAAAGGAAGAGAGAGAAATGGAGAGAGAGAGAGAATTCGCTTTACGTTTATCTTCATGGTCATTACACCTCTTACGGTAATCGAACCTGCTACTATTAACGTAGTTAATGGATCATAATGGTCATGAATTATTATTAATATTTCTATATACATAAGTTAATTGCTAATTACATCACTTTATTGAACGTCATAATATGAACGCGTTTAATTAATTTCTTTATAATATTAAATTATGTGTTTACTCTACATGCTCGACTCTACTTAATGATTTATTTTATGACGTTACATTCGCAACATAAATAATGTTCATTATAAATACAAAGGCACATAACTGGAGTATATATATAACATTGCTGTATAAGCATCTATATTATCTTAAGAATGTGTAAAAAATTGAAATAACAACATTTTCCTTTATTAATTAGTAAATACTAACTCTTACTCTGTCAGTTTCATTGGAAGCGATTCGAAAATATATGTACAGCTTGAGCTTTCATTTAAATGAGCTTTTAAAAAAAAAACAAGGTATTTTCTATTTTTTCTCTTCCTAAAGTTTTTTTTATTATATTTTTTTATTTATATATTAAACTTATAATAAAATAATATACCACAATTAACGGCAGGCTGTTGATTTGCTTTTATTGTTGATTTTTTTTTGATTTCTTCCCGTGTTTCATGTTTCGAGTGCATTATAGCAAGGGAGGCTCTTTCCAAAGACTCATTGACGGTTGTTTCACTTATATCTATTATGGACTGAATATCTGAAAGACAGTTACTAAAGTTATTAAATTTAATATAACAGTAAAATATCTATACATATAATAAAATTGTAACTAAGCCGAATCTGTATATTAAATATTTTTTGGAAAATCTTATTAAAATAAACATTATTATCGATACAGAGGCCGAATCTATAGTTTTTAGAATTTTTGTCTGTCCGTCTGTCTGTTACCGCATCACAGAAAAACCACTGAAGGGATTTCCATTAAATTCGGCATGGTGGTTATCCGGGTCAACTTATAGGATACTTTTTACCGCGAGAAAATGTCTCATTTCTAAGAAAAAATACAAAAACTGCAATGGAAGAGTACACTAATATGTAAAACCTAAGAATTTGGTTTTTGGTCATCTGAACGCGGGCGGAGCCGCGGGCAATGCTAGTATTTGATATAAATTACGTGAAATGAGTAGCAAATGTATCTAAGCGTCTTTATTTGGGGATTAGAGGGACTTGTTGCCTATTGAGGTTACAGGGCTAATTCAATCAAAGAGTGAATTTATTAAATTGAATAACATATTTTGTATTCATCTGGACAATTCGAAAAACTTTATCCAAAAAGTACAAGAAAATATCAGCTTATTTAAATTTCTTTCTATATATTCTTCTTTGTATCTATGTATCGGGACTAAGTAGGATGAATGAACGCAAAGTAATCCATACTAATATTATAATTGTGAAAGTGTGTTTGTTTGTCCTACTTTCACGTCGAAACGGAGTGACGGTTTCGCGTGATTTTTGTGTGAAGATAGTTGGAGGGCTGGAGAGTGACATAGGCAACTTTTTACCGCGGGAGATTATCTAATTCCCACGGGATAACACATTATAATACAATTCAAAAAAATATTTATGATCAGAATTACCTGAAACTTGGTAGTAATGCTCTTCAATAAAATTAAATAAATAGGTGTTTAAGCATTTTTCGAAATTCATCCTTTAAGGGGGTAAAATACGGGATGAAAGTTTGTATGAAACTACCTTTTTAGAGAGCGAAGTCGCGGGTTCTGCTAGTATAAAATAAATAAAGCCATTCAGACTCGTCCTGTACATCATGACTACTTCATGATATTATACATATATTTTTATTTTGCGAATTTCTTATATCTCATGGAAACTCTCCGCATCTCCGTAGAAAAATCACCTTGATCTGATGCTCGGGTGAGAATGACAAACCAACAAACATATTTTCGCATTATAATATTATTTATAAAGTTTGCTGTAAAATACTTCAAAAATAAAATATAAAAACCACATAACTTATACCTTTCTCGTCTTCCTTCACATAACCTTTAATCCACTTAGCCGCGTTCAGATTGCTTGAAATAACAAAATTCGGTTCATTCGCGAGTAGCTCATTTGGCTTCATAAAATTTTGAGACATTTGTTTTACATCGTTTGTACCTTAAATGTTCGAAAATTGTATAAATTAATTATTATAAAATTATGTACGTGCAATGTGTATAAATTAAATTTAAATTAAGTAACGATTTTATGTGCCAGCAGATATTTTAAATGGGATGCTTGTGGTAAGCAGGGCTCGGAAACATTTTCGGATATGTATTGGTTAATTCATCGCTCGTTCATTAATTCATTAATAAACCGAAATAATAATGGTTAACGGTTGTATTCATCCTTTTTTAACGTCCCACTGCTGGACACGGGCCTCCTTCAATACGAGGGGGGTCAGGCCACGCTGGCCAAGTGCGGGTTGGCGGACTTCACAAGTCTTTCGAAAACTTGCTAGGTTCTCTCAGACATGCAGGTTTCCTCACGATGTTCTCCTTCACCCTAAGGCAAGCGGTAATCATGTTAGAAATTATTCGCACATAAAAATATGAGAGGTGCGAGACCCGGGATTTGAACCCGCTTCACTCGGTGTCCAAAGCGAGCGTGTTACCACTGGGCTACCACTGCCTTCAGCATTTAAGGTTAACGGTTATTCTTAGAGAAAGGTTAGACTTAGGATTTAACACCGAAATAAACCAGCTAATTCATTCACAAATAAGAAACGTACATGTATGTACTAAGTTATTCACCATTTACATGTATAATATAAAAATTATACATATAAAATTCGCCAAATGTAAACGCAAAAAACTCATTTTAACCGGTTAATTTCGATCATGGAAATAAATTCGTCAATAACCGTTTTCCGGGCTTTAAACGGAACTTGAGAAAGAAAGTCAGCGGGACTGTATTTTTTTTTAAATACATAAAAATAAAATATTCATTTAAAATTGATCCAAAATTGAAATGAAAAAGAGAAGTGTTGCAAAGTGCCTGGCTCTTTGTTGTAACTAGAATGTAACAAACATTATATGATTAATACAAGAATCGTCTTGGATCGTATCTTCAATCTTAGTTGTAGAAATTAGTACGTAGGTATATGGTTAGAAAAATTAAAACAAATCGAAGAAATATTCTATCGAATAAAAAGACTCGAGAGTACAGTTGGTTTTTAGAATAGAACGAAAAATATAATACAACAATATTTACATTTTCACGCGGTGAGTGTTCAAAGTAAAAAATCTGTAGTAGAGAGTGTCAGTCAGGTAAATGTTACACGTCACAGCAGACTTCCTTCCCACGTACCTAATACCTATTACCGAAACCTAGAAATATCCAACGAAAACTATTTGATGTAACTCAACATTAAGTAATATATTTTAATTCTTTGTTATAAACAATTTTTGTGAAAAAATACTACGATATCCTCGAGATGACGTGAAATCAATAAACTACAAAGACGATTTCTGATTTATAATCTTAAGTAACTAAATTAAGTTTATATATATAATAAAATTGTAAGTAATCCGAATCTGACCATTAAATATTTTTTGGAAAATCTTATTGAACTTGACATTAATCAATACAGAGACCGAATCTATAGTTTTTAGAATTTTTGTCCGCCTGTTTGTCTGTTACCGCATCACGGAAAAACCACTGGAGGGATTTTTATGAAATGTATGATGATAGCTGGTTATCTGGGTCAACAAATGGGATACTTTTTACTGCGGGAAAATATCTCATCTCTGAGAAATCTATACTAAACGTTAAAACGTAAGTAGGGACGAACACGAGCGGAGCGAGGGTGAGTCGCTAGTAACTAAATAAAAATTGCAAGTCAATCCAGTATTAAATCAGTAATATGGCTATAACAAAACCAGTATAGTGTCAACAAGTACAGTGTCAACAAGTACGTTCAAAACAACAAAACAACGTCAACGGTAATCAATTACGTCGTAACAAAGTTATAACTAAAGAAAAAATGAAAATATTCTTAAGAAATTCTGACATATACTCGTATGTTTATGTGTTTTACGTCTTGTAGTTGTAGTCAAATAATATTTCCAACGTATCTATTGAATATTTACCAGATTTATAACCTACATGTTGATGTAAACTCTAGTGATCTGTGAATATAATTTGCAAAACATAGTAAAGTACCCAATTTATTTAATCTATTTCAGTCGTTCATTCAATTAACATGAAAACGAGATAAAGTAGTGATAAAGAACTGGCTTCTTTTGATTTTTTTTTATTTGATTTATATTTGAATAGAAAACGTGAATTAAAGTTTTTTTTTAATGAAGCAACTGTACTCGTACCTTTTCCAACAATAAAACTCCTTTCAAATTAGGAAGTTCGTTGATAAAGGAACTTATAAAAAAATGGAAAGATAAAGTACCTAAGGTTTCATGCAAAAAACCGTATTAATTCAATATATGATATATATTATATATACTTTTAAACCATAGAGAAATATATTTTTTTTATAAACATTGACAACATTTGTGTATTTTAAGGTAAACTTCGATTCAAATACGATACAAAAACTAAATAATGTAGGAAGGCAATGAAATATAACGTCGCTACCTGGCGACAGTGTAATCTGCATTTCCGAGTCATTACGCAATGCTTTAGGAGTATCGTCTCAAGTAAGAGGAATTCTGAATATTCCCCGCAATTTATGGAGAAAATTTATTTATTATCTATCGGTATTTTCATTGTTATTGTTTTTTTATGGCTTATTCATTACTTTTACATTGATAAATTGTATTACATTAGTAATAACTTTTTATTAGTTTAACATATAAGTACACCATTTTGAAAATAGGCGTTGGTAAATAATCTTTATCATCATACTTGTTGCTTATTTTTGTAAAATATTCATACAATACAGCCTATAACCTGTCTAGATAGCCCCTATTGCTATTGATGAAAACCGTATGAATATTTGTACAGTTGTTTCTGAGATAAGATCTAACAAACACAAATTCCGCCCCGCTGGGCGGGGTACTTTAACATTTTATGATATGTTATATCGATTTTTAAGTGGCATGCGTTATATACATATCGATTCATTTTTTTGACAACGTGTACAATATAGGTATTCTTTTGTTAAAAACGAATTTTTAAAATACTATGTTCACAAATTGTAGCTCAAAGCCTAACGAGGACACATGAGTATGTACAATATACATACATACATACATATTACATATCTAGGTAAGAGTTCAAATACCATTTTCTGTGAAATATCTACTGGTATTCAGTAAAGTGTTTCTGTTTTCAGATAGTTCAAAGCATATTCTAGTTCAAAGTAATGCAAATTGATAGTGAAATTCTTATAGCTTTGTCGGAAATGTTTTAGTATTATTTACATGGACTTTTATGTAGCACACTATAAGGCAGTCAATAGCCCAGAACTAAGCGCTCGCTGTAAATACCAAGTGAAGTTGGTTCAAACCTTTCTAAGTTTTTCAATGTTTATCACTTGCCTTACGTTGAAAGAAAACAACATTAGGAAAGAACATGTCTGAAAGAACGTTTAAAGAGTTTTTGAAAGATATGCAAATTCTACCAACTCGCGTGTAGTGACCGTATTTGACCTAATCCCTCTCGTATTGAGGAGGCATGTGCCCAGCAGTGAGACGTTAAAAGGGTTGAATTATCTATACATATAATAAAATTGTAACTAAGTCGAATCTGTACATTAAACATTTTTTGGAAAATCTTATTGAAATAGACATTATTATCGATACAGAGGCCGAATCTATAGTTTTTAGAATTTTTGTCTGTCTGATGAGGTACATCACGAAAAAACCACTAGAGGGATTTTGATGAAATTTGGTATGATAGGTATTAGCTGTTTATCCGGGTCAACATATAGGATGCTTTTAACTGCGGGAAAATATCTCATCTCTGAGAAATCTATACTAAACGTTAAAACGTAAGTAAGGACGAACTCGAACGGAGCAAGGGTGAGTCAAGAGTTATTACTACTATAAGAATAATTAATGTAAAGTAAAGAATATTTTACAACGCCTTTTTAATTTCGAAGACTCGTTTCTGCTCTCGCCTTATATGTCGATATAAAATAGAAAAATCTTATTTAGGAATCATTTGGAAAATTATTTCAAATTTAACACAGGTTTGAAAGTTCCAAAGATTATTTTTTACAAACAATCTAAAAAAAACAATTTATTGAACTAATTTACTAACCTTTACTATTGGTAAAGCACGCAGATTTTTGTGTTCCTACTTCAGAGTTCATAAACGTTCGCACTGATAGAAGTCGACTCCGTCCAATACGAGCCAAATGTTTTGTACTATCTGATATTAGCAAAAAGATATTAATAATATCATACATAAAGTTTACCGAAAGAAAAGCGTTTTTTTTCTATTATTAAGTTTAGTTGTCATCGTTTGTACATTCGTAGATTTATTTAGCTCTAAAGAGTATTTTTAAAGATTGGTGGTTGATTGGTTGGTGTAATAATTTATTTAAGATATAACGTAAATGATTCTTTTTCAAGCCGTCTTTACATCGTTTTATGTAATTTTTTTCATAGCACAAACATAATTCTAGCATTACCATTAATTGTATATATACAAATTATTTTAACTTGTAACAGGCTTTATTACATTACCTTTGCTAAAATTACTGTACTGTACAAAGCAGTCAGTTTTGATTTGCTTGTTGCTGTTTTCTTGGGCATCAAAATTTTGGGACGTTTCAGTGGACTTTGAATTTAGTTCAGTGACTGCATTTACACAGGTGGAGTGACAGTCTGGACAAGAACCTGAAAATTACGTTTTAATGGGCTACATGCAAGTAATTCATGCCAAAAAACTAAATAGCATGTAATGAAAAATTTTGGTATAGGGGAGATTATAATTATATGAAAGTGTGTTAAATTTATTCTTAGCAAATTATCAAACTAATATTATAAGTAAAGGTAAAGTTTGTAAGTTTGTGAGTTTGTTTGTAGGAAGTAATCTCTGGAACTTCTAAACCGATTTAAATGAAATTTGGTAAGAATAGTTAGAGACCCAGAGAAGGACATAGGATTGTTTTTATTCACTTTAATCATCTCTTAAGGGGGCGAAAATTGTGATGAAAGTTTGTATGGGGAATCTACCTGGGGAAGAATCCGAGTAAAGCAAGGGTGAGTCGCTAGTAATATAACAATAATCATCATCTATAATTTCTATAAAAAAACTACACATCAGCTTAAAGCAAATCATCTTTTATATTTATTAATTCTCATAATTGGGTAAATAGGTACACCTATTTCATAAAATATATATTTTCAAAATTCTTATAAAATTACCATATAAAGAAAATATTATAATATGTGATATAAATACAATAAAAGTTTTAGAATTAAAAGTTTTTAGCAACCGAGTAAATTTTGCTTAAAACACTGGTTAATATAAGTTTTTTTTTCCTTTTATGTCTGCGAGCCAATTTTATACTACGCGTCAAGACATATTTATGCGCCTTGCGTTGGATAGTTGATACAATTAAGATAAAGTTGATATAAATCCTTGTGTGTTTTTTTTAATTTATTTATATCTACGAGATAAGTGGCTTAGTCCGCTAAAGTAGAGAATACTTTGTAAATAGGAGAATTGCTTGAGAAATTTCCAATTACTAGTAGACATTAATTTTATGTTACATACACTGAAGTAGTTAAAAAAAGAGATATAAGATTTTCCACAAATCCTCCTTTCGCCTTTGTTCTTTGCTACAATACAATATATATTTATGAATAGTTATTATTATAATATTAAAAACACAGCCTATACCCAAATTTATTTATAATATATAAGTCCTTAATTCTAACAACCACCGCTTGGTAGGCAAAGTATAGCCGAAACCGTTGGGGTCTATCTATAAGCATGGAATTTTTGCTCTAGATTTACTTATATAACAAATTATGACAGGCTTTAGGGAAAGATTTTTAAAATGAACTCCTTAAAAAGGTTATTTTTGCAGTTGAAAATATGGAAATTGATGTTTAAGCCTCTGTTTATATTGCTAATAGGAAATCTCATAATACTTCCTTCCGCTGATAAATTATGCGATATTCTAAATTAAGATCGTGGTTTTAAAGGTTTCGCTTGCTTTTAAAGGTTATACCTGTATTACAACTACATTGAGTTATGTGAGATCCACCATTAACTGAACTGCGCTCTAATAAATCAATAGCGGATATTCCTGAAAATATATTATATGATAATACTTTGTTAGATTTACGTAAATATATGATATTTTAAAATAAAACTATCTTTTCAGATTTTTTCAGGGATTTATTTTCATTTTGGTTCCCGACGTTTCGAATGCTTTACAGTAATCATGATCACGGGAGAGACTCTCTGAAAAGAGAACTGCTGAAAAGGTAGTTTTATTTTAAAATATATGTATATATGATTTAAATTTCCCTCAAGACTGGTTATCTGCACATCTGTAAGATAGTTTTATTTAAAATGTCAAATATTCGCGTAATCTAAGAAAATATTATTTTTCTCTTAAAAAAAAACAGCTTCCGATTGGTCTATCTTTATAAATTATAGTCTATGTGTTATTCTGATGTATAAGTTATATTAATGTAATGTTTTATCAAAATCCGTTTAGTTGTTTTTGAGCGAAAGAATAACAAACATACATCCATTCATCCATGTATTTTTTTTATAAATTCTTTTTTTTGTTTTTCATTGACAATACATTCTTTATAAAAAAACTATCGTTTGCCCGCGGCCTGGACCGTCTTAATTTATGTATAATTTGTCCATCCTTAAGGTTCACAATGTGATAAGTAAAAAAATACAAAAATAATTTTCCAAATCGGTCTCGTAGTTCAAGAGACTAACGCATTAATTAAACATACAGAAAACTCTTTCAGTATTATTATATACTAGTATAATAGATGTAAAAATGGTCAAAAATCAATAATTGAAAACTAGATGTATTACATATTCGTATTTACCCAAATAAGCATCTCGAAGGTAATGCTTATACAAAGATGGCGTAGTAGAGCAATCCGTGTCTTTAGAAGAAAAATTTGTAGATGTACCTATAAAAATATTAAACATATTAATAACTAGCAACTCACGCTCGCTTTGCTCGGGTTCGTCCCTAGTGAAAAACTAAAGCAAATCTATCCCACGGGAACCGTACATTTTCCCTGATTAAAAAGTAACCTGTGTGCTACTACTGTGTCTGTACTACTGTGTGTCAAATTTTATCCAGATCTGTTCACCGTTCTGGCGTGATTGAGTAACAAACATCCATCCATCCATCCAAACTTTCGCATATAATTACTAGCGACTCGCTTCGCTCGTGTTCGCCTTTATGAAAACAAAAACAAATCTATTCCACGAGAACCGTACATTTTTCCGAGATAAAAAATAGTCTTAAGTGTTATTCTAGACTATAATCTATCTCTGTGCGAAATTTCATCCAGATCCTTTCAACCGTTCTGACGTGAAAGAGTAACAAAAATCCATACATACATACATACATACATACATACATACATACACACATACACACATACACACATACATACAAATTTTCATATTTATAATATTAGTATAGATTTATGGGATTACTAAGCAGCAAAGTATAGACAATTTCAAAAGAAAATTGAATTATACGAGTAGATTTATTTGAATGCTAGTGTCTTATAAACTTTCCTAGTGGCTGTTATCCTTAGTGGCTGTTTTCGGAAATAACGAGGCAGTTTACAGTAAGTACTAATTACTTTATCGCCTGAGAATACTTTGATTTACACTTGTGTACAATAACACACATTAGTCATAAGATATGTGTTTCAGATAAAATAAACTTTAGTCCTGGTGAAGACACTTAGGACGACTGAGGTGTGATGAGACGACATAATATTTATTATTGTTAAAAATAGTACAATTGAAAATCATATAAATTTACAGAGTGTACATGTTGTTCCTTCAAAATAATTTAGATGATTTTATTTCATATACAATTTACCTGTATTAGCTGTAGCAACTTTTGATATTCTTGTTAAAGTTGACGCTTGAATGCTTGACGGTTGAATATTGTCGGACGAAACTGAAGTCACTTTAGTACCTTCAAGTAATAAAAATGCAAATATTTATAAATTAGTAAAGATGATTGGGTTCAAATAACACTTAAAAAAAGTCTAAAAATCAATACTTAAACTAAGAAAATATACTTAAAATCAAATCACTCCATCAAATAATTAATTATAAAAATATGGATACCTGTACAAGACAAAATTGTCCCTTTATTTGTAACTAGTGTGTTTTCCAATCTTCTGCAAGGAATCACTGTATCTGAATAAAACAAAGGTTATCAAAATGCCAGAACGAAGGATGCCAGCAAGGAAAGTGAAAAGCAAAGCAAACTTATTTCAATACTAGCATTGCCCGCGGCTCCGCCCGCGTTCAGACGACCAAAAACCAAATTCTTAGGTTTTACATATAAGTATATCGTTACGTGGTGCATAATGAGCGCCGAGGCTCTGAGGCTGGACCAAAATTAGCGCTGAGGCTATGAGGTCATAGAGATTTTAAGATTAATTAATCATTTTTATGTGGTTGCTACGAGATAGTTATGTGTTTAGATTTTTGTGCTTAGCTATTAGGATTTTTATTAAGGTAAATTAACTGATTATTTTATTTTTCCAGATGAAAATTAATCATAGACGCAGGGACGCGCCTGATGTCAGTATGGCCGTATCGGCGCGAGCATTTAATCGATGAGATAAGTTGTTTTGTTATTTATATCAGCTTTAATGATTGCTTGAGATCGCTATTATCGAATAAGTGTAAGTATACTCTTACATTGCAGTTTTTTTATTTTTTCTCAGAAATGAGACATTTTCCCGCGGTAAAAAGTATCCTATATGCTAACTCGGATAACCAGCTACATATCACTATACCAAATTTCACCAAAATCCCTCCAGTGGTTTTTCTGTGATGCGGTAACAGACAGACAGACAGACAAAAATTAATTCTAAAAACTACAGATTCGGCCTCTGTATCGATAATAAAATCTATTTTAATAAGATTTACCAAAAAAATATTTAATGTACAGATTCGGCTTAGTTACAATTTTATTATATGTAAAGATGTGTAAATACATAACAAATATATGTACTTGGATGTATTTTAAATATAATAATTAAAGTTGATACCTTATAATATTTACCTATAAGATACGAGTATAAATCATAAATCATTGTCTGTTGGCTGGCACCGACTACGATTTGATTCGAATATCTGATTTATATATTAAGTTACGGTTTAAGAATTTATTTCTTAAAAAATAGTACAATTCAGTTAAGTATTTGAGAAAACAAGATACATCTCAATAATAAATATAAGCATACAGGCGGTAACAATAAGTTAACAGTAAGTTTTAATAAGTTCATTTTATTTACCGGTAACTACACTTGATTTAACATCCGATATTAATTGATATGGAACAGACATTCCTATGGACATTTTTGTCAATAAATGCGCTGGCAACACTTGAATTTCTGCAATAAATGTGAAAGAACAAAGTCAATACAATACGAATAATAGTATATGTAGTATTAATTATTGAAATAATAGTAATATTATGTTATAATTAATATAAATTATACCTTTATTGTAAAATTCTTTATGGATTTCTGCAGATGTCATTACTTTAACTGAATTGAGTGAGTTTTTGTCAGGAGGCACCGTTTCCGTTTCTTAAGAAATATAATATAATGAGAACTTTTTATTTTGTAATATAATATATAGATGTGTTTTAACGATTAGTATATTTCTCAGAGATAAGATATTTTCCCGCAGTAAAAAGTATCCTACATGTTATCGGATAACTAGCTATCAAGTGGTTTTCTCGTGATGCGTTCCCAGACAGACAGATAAACAAACAAAAAATTTAAAAACTATAGATTAGATCTCTGCGTCGATAATAATGACTATTTCAGTAAGATTTTCCAAAAACATATTTAGTGTACAGATTCGACTCTTCTAATGTAGAGTAACGACGACACGTTTGGCTCAGTTTGTAGTGACCCTACTTATTGTATCAGCGGTCGCGGCTGCAAGTCCCGCTGGGGGCATTCATTTGTGTGATGAGCATGAATGTTTGTACTACAGTCAAGGGTGTTTATGTTTATAATATGTATGTATTTAAAGCTATATATATATATATATATATATATATATATATATATATATATAAAAATATATACCTGCATTGTTACAAGTGATCGTCATCGGCTTATCTATATTATGTATCAAAGTACTTGTCACTTTATTTTCAACAACCAATGGAGTAACTTCTGTTAGATTTAAAACAAAATAATATGTTTTATAGTATACAATATTGACGATATAGAAAAAAAACAATAGCTCTTTATCATATAATATCGTACCTGTATAATTCTCTTGAACATAAACTGGGATCGCTAAGGAGCTTTTTGATATACTTTTATTAAGATTTCCTGTTAATGTTGGAAATATTAGATTTTTAAGCTTAAATTAGATTAGAGATTACTAGTGATTATTTGGTTTTGATGCCAGTTATTTTATGCATAAAATAAGTTTTTTTTAATATTGATTTAAAGCCGCTTCTTTAACGGTTAATCTCTAATGGCTTGGGATGGTTAATGTCTAATGGAATAGGATTCAGGACGAACCGGCATTAGTTCTTGATGGTAGTCAAACCATCAAGTATACTCGTATTTATAATCTCTATGAAACGTACAGTTCATATATATATATATAATATACAAGCAGAACCCGCGGCTTCGCTCGCGCTATATTTATAAAAAAATCTCTAAAATGGTAGGTTTCATAAAAGTTTCATGCGCTATTTTACTCATTTATGAGATGAATTTCGAAAAATGCTAAAACACGTGTTTAATTAATTGTATTGAAGAGTATTTATGTCAAGTTTCATGTAATTCTGATTATGAATATTTTTTTAGATTGCATTATAAGTGTTTTCCCGTGGGATAGAGATAATCTCCCGCGGTAAAAGTAGCCTATGTCATTTTCCAGCCCTCCATATATCTCCATACAAAAAATCACGCCAATCCGCCAAGCCGTTTCGGCGTGAAAGAAAGACAAACAAACAAACAAATTATTATTTTTTCACATTTATAATATTAGTACAGATTATAAAGCTTAAAAATAGTGTTTAAATAAAGGCTAAATTTTCCATATTTAAGTATTTGAAAATATATTTATACACTAAGTTTCGTGCAATGAAACGTTTCATATTTTATCGGTAATCTTATCAAAATCATTTGAAAGTCGATGGCTTTTAGTGAAAATGGATAAAATATTTCACCTTCTTTTAAGTAACTGTCTCGTTCCTTGAGAGCTTGATAGCTGATATTTTTAACTTCCTTAGATTTGGTTTCATCGACGATGGCACAGTGCGCGCAGGATATTGCCTTGGATTGTGTAACCCGCTTACTGTTTCTGCTGGTCATCATTGCTGTGACGAATAATTTATTTTAAATATAATTAGTTTTTTACCATTTTATTAAGAGTCTTGGTTCCCAAAGTTCAAATATATTCACGAGAACTTAATTTAAAATTTCAAATATTCGCGTAAATCTAGGAAAGTATCAATTTACTTTTATTTATTTATAACTGAATCAAAACGAAACCTGAAATTTTGTCCAAAAGTTATTTACAGAACAAAAGTGGACACTACATGATTATTTTAAATTCATCTTTTAAAGTGTGGCAAAATACAGGATTGATGTTTAAAAGTCTTCAATATTGGCTAGAGAAAACCCGATCAAGTTAAGCGCGTTTATTATGACCCTCGCTTTATATACGTACAATATATATTCAAGTTGAACGCAGTGTCAAATCCGTATTTATGCAACATTATTTCGGCTGAAAATGACAGTTATATATATATATATATATATATATATATATATATATATATATATATATATATATAATTTAGACTACGCTTCATTTTACATAATATGCATCTTCAAGCGTTCTCTAGTAATGAGCAACAAAACAGATTGATAATAATTTCCAAAACTCTACATTTGGCTTCATATCCTAAATAAAATAGTCAAAAAATATTTCATATTATATTTTGATCCCGCTACCATTTTATCTATATCTACAATATATAGTATAAAACGCGGCTGCGTCTATCTGTTTCTCCGCTTTCTTCTCCTAAACCACGCAACGGGGTTTGATACGATTTTCACTCATAGAAAGTGCGATAAACGAGGAAGGTTTAATAAATATTTTTTACATAATGACTGAGTGTTGACTGATGGTGTTTTGTCAAAAAAACTGTTTTCGTACGATTACACGGCTGACATGACTAAACCTTTACATATACATCAAAACTATATACTAGAAAATTGTAGGTCTTAAAAAGGCCTACAGAAAAGTTCGCAATAGCACGTACAGTATATATCTCCTAATGTACGCTCTCAATAACTATTTTTATCTACACAAAATGTACCTAGGGAGCAGGAAAGCACTCGAGTGAACCGAGAATAAGTCGCCAGTGGCTAGATGGCTTCATTAAGCAAAGTATAAATGTACACAATTTATAATGAAAACAAACACTTAAATTAAGTAGAACACCCCGAAACGTCAACAGCAGTGCATGAAGATAAGTTATTTTGAGCTTAACATTTTAATCTAAGTTTATATTTCATTGTAATCGTGCACTTGCATAATATAAAATAATTTCTACTTAAAATTTTTACGCTCATTTATAAAAGTTTTAGTTTTATATGATACCAGATTACCCGCACTGTTCACGCGCGGATTTTACTGTCTAATCTTTTTTCATCTATACTACAATAAAGTTGTAGAGGTCGAATGTCTGTACATAGAAAAAAAAAGGCTAAAAACCGAGTCAGGGGGATGTAAGAAGACAAATAGAACAAATCCAGATTTTTTCAATTTTTTTGTTTCTCTGTCTGTTTGTCTGTTTGTACGGGCTAATCTCCGAATCTATTGGACTGATTTAAATAAAATTTTGTATTGTGGTACCTTATATCCCCGGGCAACATCTAAGATACTTTTCATTCCGGAAAATTAAAGAATTTCCGTGGGATAGTAAAAAAACTATAGTAATTTATACAGCGTAGTACACAACAACTTATGCACCTAATTTAGTAAAATTTGGCATGTTGATACCTTATATTGCCGGTCAAACAACAGGTAACTTTTCATCGCAGAAAAATGAACGGTTCCCCTGGGATAGATCTGTTTGTGCTTTTCTAGAGGCGAACTCGAGCGAAGCGAGGGTGAGCCGCTAGTCTACATAATATTTCTAACAGCTTTTCATCAACAGCTTCAGATGCGAGATGCGACAATAAATGAAATAAACTAAAAATTTTACATTGCCCAGAGGGCGGCGCTAAGGTTGAATCCGGCATTAGTCACGCACAATGTTTTAAACTAGAAGTTTTGACACTTACATGTGTTTTGGGGAAAAGTGAACATCGATGGACCGATGTTAGCGTGCTTCATACCAGATTTGTTACTTCTGGTTGACTTTGTCGACTGACCTGAACAAATATTTATAGCGTTATATACATGTGTATATTATGTACTTAATACTTCTTATTGTTAACATAATTCAAAGACATGATTTTAAATGTTAAAAATATCTGATTAAGTATCTATTCTGAATGGAAACCCCCGTTTAGTTCTTTTTTACATTTTAGTGCCTGGAAGTCGGTTTTTTTAAGTTTTTATTTGTCCATTTTTAGTGTAGACGTATTAAGCAGGTAATTTTTTAGAAGAAAGTTTTTTAATACCATGTTCAATTCAGCAATTTATTTAAAAAATAATAATTTATTTGTTGATTTAAAAAAAACCGCTCGACCGATTTCGATAAAATTTATATGGGACCACCTGGGAAGTATACCCTTTGAAACAAAATAAAATTCCAAATCGGTTCAGGCGTCTTCGAGTAATCGCTGAACATACATAAAAAAAAGATTCCGACGAATTGAAAGCCTCCTGCTTTTCGGAAGTCGGTTACTTAATAAAAAGACTCAAATCAAACACTTTCAAACATTTATACCTTTAATTTACATTTAAAGATAGTAGGGTTTCTTAAACTTAGAGATTCTTAGAGAAAGGGTCTCGTTTTAGGTAATTACCTACGGTACAATAAATAGCATATTTAACCGTATCGTGTCATCAGCACTCTAATGGCTGTTTGAAGTATTAATTAAAAGAAACATCTTTACAACGTAGACAGATAATGTAGAAAGATAAATAAAGGTGAGAGTTATCAAAAAGAAAATTACGAACATTTCGTTAGTGTCCCAGATATTAAAATAGACGAAAATATTCTGTAGATTTTATGTTTAATTAAATTTTAGCCCTTTAACGTTCATCAACGGGAAATAATTCCACTTTCTGTTTGATATCTAGATGAAGGAAATTTGATGGTTTTAATAATAACTTGTTATTTAATATTTCAGTTTATATCAGATAATAAATTAGGTTGTAATTAATTTTCAAAAAAGGTATTTCATGAAATATTTCAATAATATCACAATTGTAAGTTTGGTTGTTAGAAGATTAAATTGATAAGATTGATTTACATGGATAGATTTTTTTAATGTGATACATTCAAATCAAAAAAAGAACGTATATATGTATGTATGTACATATATACAATTTAGCTTAAAATTAAATGTTTCGAGAAATACTTGTACGAAAACCGTTTAAAAGGTTGTTGACGTGCGAGCGTATAATGTTATTTCAAAGGGTCCGACTAAAATAAATTGCGTTTCCTTGCTTAAAAATTAGTCTCTTTCATTAAAAAAAAATATGTGTTCTTTAGAACACACACAGTTTAAAGATTTTTTAAGAAGTAAAAATGAACGTTTGTACGAAAACGAAATACTTAACACAAAATACAACTTAAAATTACACTTTTTTCATTTTACCGTTTTCAATCTTCGCGATACCAAAAAAAATTGTAATGAATTTTAAATCACGACGAGCTTTGTGTAGATATTATGATAAATGGGTTTTCTAAATGGAAGGTGTTGCATGAGAGAATTTTGGCACACATTTGTGCGGAGGTAAAATAAATCATTTACACGGAAACTATGTCGTACGTCGCAGATTTCCTACACCATTTTATTTGTCTCTTACATCTCGTATTACGAGTAATATACTGCTTTATTTTAGTACATTCAAAATAATAAAATGACTAGCACTAACTATCGAGAAATTGTTATACCGTTTAGTATCGTTTATTAAGAATAAAATGTTGCCATGTAACCAAAAACAATAAATTATAATAAATGGCTTGATTTATTAATGAAATTTAAATAAAAAAAATTAGTTTTCCATATGAGTAAACTCTTACATAGCAGTTTTTGTATTTTTTCTCAGAAATGAGATATTTTTCCGTGGTGAAAAGTATCCTATATGTTGACCCGGCTAACCAGCTATCATCATACCAAATTTCATCAAAATCTGTCCAGTGGTTTTCTCGTGATGCAGTAACAGACAGACAGACATACAGACAGACAGACAAAAATTCTAAAAATTATAGATTCAGACTCTGTATCGATAATAATGTCCATTTCAATAAGATTTTCCAAAAAATATTTAATGTACAGATTCGACTTAGATACAATTTTATTATAAGTATAGATATAATAAAACAGTAACTTAGCGAAATCGATGTGCGCATTTCACGCAAAAAGTACTGAACCGATTTAACTAAATTTTGTGTAATGATAACTTATTACTCGGGTCCATATTTAGGATACCTTTTACTACAGGAAAATCTTTCATTCCCACGGGAAAACACAATAACTGGGTCTATCGAGTCGTTCTTAGAAATTTACATGTCTAACGCTGGCTAAACCTTAAGTGATATATCAAAACAATGTTCTAGGGTAAATCACTATATTTTATAAAGAAACTGAGTTATTCTCTACAGAAAAAAATAAATAAAGCTGTAAGAGGAATGTTATGCTATACTAGAAGTAGCATAATTTTTCTGGGAGAAAAAAAAAACATTAGCGGAAGGTTTCAAAATTTTAACTTTTTAGGTTTTAGTATAAGAAATTCAAAACATCCAAAATCAGCCAAATGCATTTACTATACCTGGGTTCTGAGGTATAAACCTAATTGCACTCGACTATTACTATTTTAGTATTTTCATCTATATCAAACGTACGGACGCACCCGAGCAAAGCGAGAGTAAATCGCTAGTTGTTAAATAAATATTAGGCAGAAGGACATAAAACTGAGTGTTTTTACATTTTTAAATTTTAAACTATTAATCCAGTAATTTTGTATTCATTAATTTTAATCATTATGTAAAATTACGCTATAGGCACTCGTTTGTTGAGTGTATGGCGCCTTTTGTGATGTAAGCCTGTAGATTAACCTCAAAATATAATTCTATTACACCCAATCACGTTCATATTGTTCCTACTAATACGACGATTCGATGTCATCACACTCCCATTACCAAAATAGGAGAAAGTCAGAAAATCTAGGAGATCTGTTTTCTTGTGATGTGCTACTTGTTTGTAAAAGGGTTTCTTTAATTTATTACCGTTTACAACCTTTTCCATATCCGAACTATTAAGTGGCATTCTCGATTATATCTTTTACTTTTGTTCAAATCAACCAATTTTAAGTTGTTCTGTTATAAAGCATACAGTACAAAATGAGACGTTTCTTACAAACCAAAAAGTCCAAAAACAATGATTTTTTTTACTTACTTTCTATACAATACTGTATAAAAATACCAAATACAATATGAAAAACGTATAAAAGAATGTAACATTAAAATTACCATCTACACATCGTGACCATGCGGTCTTGAAAGCGGCAGTAATCTCCGGTGATCTTTGTTCCCTCGCAATACAATCCGTGCCTAAAAAGCAAAAGTGTGTCATGAGACCCAGAGGGGAAACAGACGGAACAATTTATGTGTGAAAGTACTCGTATTGAGCGTTTTCACAGTCGAGTGAATCAGTCGTCATACAATTTATCGTGATCATTACCCAAATACTAAAATGGCTAGTATGAAATACTCTGTTTAATTTTATAATGGCCATTGTTAAGATTTATGAAGCTTTACCGTGATATACAAAGAATTTGGTTTTTAAATAAATTGGTCATATTATGTTCTTAGCTTTAATCAATACAGATAAAATAATAGCTTTTTACTAAATGAATATGAAATAATATATGGTACTTACAAGAAAAACACACTTTAGACAGACAGATAAACAAATTATTTTTTGTCTATCTGTCTGTTTGTCCGGGTAACCTCCAAAATCACTGGATTGATTTTGATGGACTTTCACTGGCAGATAGCTTATGTTATAAATAATAACTTTAGGCTAAAGTTTTTATTTTAAAAAAAGAATTAGGATTTCGCTAAGAAAAATTAAAACCTACCTAGAGATGCACTTAAGCGAAGCGGTGGTAAGTTGCTAATACCATATACAAAAAAAAATTATACTATACCAATCTCATTATAAACCAGTAATGTAGTTTGGACGGTGGCGTTATCCCAGTTGATCAGCTTCTGTATGTTCATAACGTGAACTGTAATAAATTCCAGTTATAACTTTTAAATTAGTAGTAGTTTAAAGTTAATTAGCTATAATGGGCTCACATTTTTGAAATTATACTTCATTTGGCACGTTTGGATAAAATTATGAGATTAAAATTATTACGATGCGCGCGCGCACCGACAGCCAAAAAGCGACATGATGAAGTTAGCTGCATTCCTTTTACAAACTAGCGTTGTGACATACGGGATGAAATCTTTAGCTATTTTTGTTCTGTTACGCCAAAGAAGTATAATTTCTTACATGCGTACATAAGTACACAAACACATTTTTTTTGTAATAAAATGCCTTCTAGAACGACAAAGACTTAAATGAAAAGCTGTGTATTAGAAACATATTTTGACACATTCGTAATATGAATTAGGTAAAAGTATAAATTGATTTTTCACCCTCCAGACGCCAATGTGATAACAATTTAAAGCTTCAATTGAATGGAAATTTTATTTTGCTTTTTGAACTTTGCTTTTTCTGAGACACCTTATCTTGTTAAGAATATTACGGAGAGAGCTCCTTTCTTTTTTAATAAATAAAAAAATAATTGTACATAAATATATCGATTACATTTTAAGATATTATTGAGTGCTAGCGACTTACCCTCCGCTCGGGTTCGTCCCTACTTACATTTTAACGTTTAGTATAGATTTCTCAGAGATGAGATATTTTCTCGCAGTAAAAAGTATCCTATATAATATCAACCCGGATAACCAGCTATCATCATACCAAATTTCATCAAAATCCCTCCAGGCATACAGACAGACAGACGGACGGACAGACAAACATTCTAAAATCTAGAGATTCGCCCTCTATATCGATAATAATGACTATTTCAATAAGATTTTCGAAAAAATATTTAATGTACAGATTCGACTCAGAATTTTATTATATGTATAGATTATTAGATAAATACATACATATGTTTTCTAAATTCCACACGTTTTATTAGAAACTACTAACTATCCGTCTGTCGATCGATTATTAGATCTCTTGAGATCAGATAGATATACGAGTCCTATTGGGTCATTTTAATTAAAGAATATAGAAAATATTTAAAGTGTATTACATAATTAATGGCTTACATTTTCTAGACGTTGAATTTGACTTAGACCAGTTACTCCATTTCTCAGTTGTCTTTTTCCACACTCGATTCCATCGATGTCTACAAATACGCCCAATTGATATTTGCTTTTTTAAACTTTGAAATGGTCCTGATACTCTCGATATTGTAAAAATTTTTAGAAGTCTGTGGTATATGTGGTTATCTATAAAAAATAAATTATCTAAAATAATAATTTTGAATATACATAATTAGATAATTTTGATTATATTCGTGTATTTGTCATACATTTCTCTTTGTGTCTACGTCTATATTTTTGACATTTTTTGCATCTTCCCTTACAATCCCATAGACTTTGTTCAGAAAAGTCCCTTTTCACAACTTCTTTTCTCCAACAGTAGTGATAATAGTAATCATGGTAGCTGCATTTGTCTAGAAATTGTGAAATTGAAAATTTACTTTTATTTAAACTCACTAATTAATCATTTTTTACATTACTATAATTTAAGATTTAATTTATGTTTATTATACTTGAGTAATGCAAATGCTAATACAATATATACCAGGACATTTTAAGTGTTGCGTCTCTTTCTTATCGTAAGTATTAGACCGCCAAAATTCTGTGTTATTCGATGTTTTAGAGGATTTCCAAGCATCAGTATTGTCTTGTGAGCTTTGAATTATGGACCAATCGGTATCATCGTCAGCAGGAAAATTTTCATCAATGTGCTCAATAGTACTCGATAAGTCATCGCGGGTTTCTGAATCGATTCCCGTGGCCAAACTAAAGGTATCACAACCTAATGTGTGAATAAATTTGTAAGATTAATTAATTATTGTTCAATAATGTTCAAATAAACAATATAATTAATAGAATAAGCACAAGGAAGAATGATGGTTTGATTTGATTTTGATCGCCTCCAGGCTACTTCAACTTGATAGAAATATTGTAAATTATAATTTTACTTTAAAAAAAGATAGCAAGGTAATATTAATCCCGCTGAGTTTCTTTCGCCAGTTCTTCTCAGGTCTGAGGCTTCTTCTATCTGAACTGGCAGTAGATTCATGACGTTCAGTAAAAAATTGTAATAATTTAATGCTGAATAAAACATTTTGAATTTTGAATTTTGATCTAATGTCACTATTTACTTATTTATCACTGTTTATTTATAAACTTATATTGTAATCTTTAAAGTTAAATCTTTAATTTTGTTTGTTTTAGTTTAACTTAGTAAATATGTAAGCTTTACCATGAGTTTCAAAGTTTGTAGTTTTTTGGAGAACTTCTGATGGATATTCTTCGTAAGAAGAAACGGGTATTTTTTCATTATTTTCTTTTTTTCTGGCAGGATTTGGTGTTGAATAATATTTTAAAGGTTTGTGAATATCTAAAAAAAAAACCATTTTGTGTTATAAACTATTACCAGCTTCTTTATTTATTCCTGAATGAATAGAATACTACTTGTATTATTTAGGGTAAACGCTCAAAATTTAAATTAGAACTTTAAATATATTTTCGTTTTGACTATAATACCTGTTCTAAGATTTTTTGTAAGTTTCAAGTCTGTTTTTATTTTTGGTACTCCAAAGAAATCGCGCGTATTTGCAGAATCTATTTTTCTTTTATTAATATATGCGGTTGACTGCCCTTCTCCAAAAATATCTAAAAAATTATGATATTTATTATATTATATTGTTACTGTCTGTAATTGAAACTACTTTAAAAAATGGAATACATACCAGAATTATTTTGATTATGCTTTTTGATAGTAGAACGTGTGATTTCCTTACTATTGTGAATCTTATTTCTTTTTTCTCCATTTATGGATACTTTGTTTTCTAATATCTTTGGTTCCATAGTCGTTTCATTAAATGTTATTTGACTAGGCGGATTTATTGACTGGTATCCTAAAATAGTTTCAGTATATTATATATATGTAGGATCCGGGGATACTAATGTAAGCGTTTAGAACACTATTTACTATTTATTCCTTTAAAATTATACAAAACAATGTTCACTCGTCTCGTCGTGTCGTCATTATGACAAAACATCCTTCTTTTCTTCATCTTTCATTCTATTCTATTCTTAAAATTATATATATATATATATATATATATATATATATATATATATATATATATATATATATATATATTATTTCATAATAACGTTAAAATTAAAAAAGAACCAGATTCATTATCTCTCGTCGGTTGCTCCAGTTCTGAAGATAGCCAATCACGCAAATTTTCGTCTGTAGTCTTAAAAGTTTTTAATCCTGAAATCTTTTTAGTAGATAATCCTTGTGAACTGGATTGATTTGCAGTTAATTCTGTCACACATAAGTATTCCATTATATTGTCGTATATTGTCGATAAAATAATATATTAATTTTCAAAAAAATCGAATAAAAAATTACCACTATTTTTGGTTTTGTTAATATTATTAGACGTAACGCTAGAATTTAGACTTAATTGTGTGTTTATAGTGTCATTAGAGATAAGAATATTTTCAGGGCCATCTCTATGTTCACTTTCAGTATCTAACAACCAAGCTGCAACGAATTTCAAAATATTTATCATATGTACATAATTTATGTATATTTAAATACTTAACATTCACTCACTTTAAAATGTTATGAAATTTTTAAACAGCTAAAAAATGGCAAAATAGCAATAGAAGTAAACATTTTAGAAAATATTTTTCAATTACTTGAATCTTCCCTGTAAATATTATGTCCCAAGGTCGGTATGGGCCTTGCAGAAGTTTCTGACTTTGGCGGTAAATAATTTTCAGGACAAAATTCTGTAATTTTATACGAAATTCATAAATTAGCGTGACAATTCATAAAATATGTGTATTTAAAACATGCTATATTGAACTATACAACGCACCTTGATTGATATTTAGATGTTGTACCCTTTGAACATTTTTATGTTCAATTAACGGTTTATAATTTCTGGAGGATATATTTTTCATGGTGGATGATGATAGACCTTTCGCAGGCACATCTCGTATGTTATATTTTCTTCGAGGTATCAAACTTGGTTTTTTATCGTTACCTTCTATAAGGTGATGATAGATAATTTATAATTTGAGTAATCATTTAAATAGATAGGTTTGGATAAATTTTACCTGGATTTTTTAATTTTCTCGGAATTTCCGCTTGCCTACTTGTGTTGGTATCATCTTCAGAAAAAAAAATACATTAGGAGCATAGGAAGTAGAAGCGTATCACATATTATTCTTTTAGTTTTTGATGCTTTAACTTAATAAAATAATATTATTTAATACCTGACGTATCAGACTGTCCTATTTTTGGAACGTTCTTTTTAACTAATTGCAACTTTCTGAGTGACTTGTTAGCCGGTCTCCTTTCATACGTTTCTGATTTAGTCTTGTCTATGTATTAAAATAATATTATTAAAAACTGTTCAGTTACTCTATTAATAAGTAGTTAAAATAGTTCAATATAAAAATGTCAATTGTTATGTACCATTAACGCTTGTATCCCTTATGAGTTTAAGTTGGCCATAAGCTACTATATAATTTTTTGCTGGTCCTAGTACTGGGTTTGTTGCAACAGTCAAATCCATTTTAATCTACATAAAATATTATATAATATTAATTACTTTGAGTAAGATATTTAAATTCAAAGCATTAGCATGAACCTATAAAATACATACCAATTAAAATTCTATATGTAAACACATGATAAGTTAAGACGCTTTAAATTTAAGGAGCAATATTTTATTTTTACTAAGTATAAAAAAAATGAATTAAAGGTGTAACTTGTTTTTATTTTATCTTATAACATTAAATTTAGACATAAATCCTAATAAATTGTCATTTTAGGTAATATGACAGAATTAACATATTTCTGTCGAAGTTTTTTTTAATCTTGTCACTGTCGTTGAGGTTCACTAGGTTCTTCTAAGGAAATATGTTTCTCTGATTTCGATGAAGAAGCTCTTTGCTCAGCTTGTATTTCTTCTAGCTTTTTAATTAAGTCCTTTTGCACACTGTCCACGATTTCTTTTAAGTTTTTGGCTGTAAATTTTACACATAAAATATATTATTACTACTTCAAAACCACATTTTAATCAAAATATTACACTTTTTAACCGACTTCCAAAAAGGTTCTCAATTCGTCGGAATCTTTTTTTTATGTATGTTCTGTACCGATTACTCAAAGACGCTTGAATCGATTTGGAAATTATTTTTTTTGTTTCAAAAGTTATACTTCCCAGATGGTCCCATATAAAATTTATAGAAATCGGTCGAGCGGTTTTAAAAAAATCAACAATAAATATTTTTTTAAATAATTTTTTTATCGAATATGTTATTAAAAAAGTTTCTTCTTACAAATTACCTGCATATTACGTTTACACAAAAAATGGAAAAATAAAAACTTTTTAATAAAAAATAAAAACCGACTTCCAGGCACTAAAATGTAAAAAATAACTAAACGGCGATTTTCATTTAGAATAAATACATACTCAGATATTTTTGAAGTCGGTGCCAGCCGACAATATTTTAAGATATGAATATCTTATAGGTAAATATGTATTTTACCAATCGAAATATATTAAGATTTGCTTTGCAGATGGAACTCGGTTTTTTTTAAGTTTTTATTTCAAATAGACTTTTACAAACATTGATGAATACAATTTTATGAAACATAACAGCAAAATATCTAGATCTTAATATTAATATCTACTAATTACCTGTTTTCTGGTTAAATTCTTGTGCTATGAGTGAAATTTTTTTCAAAGTTACTACATGTTTTGATATCTCACTTGCCACATCATGATCGCATGCAGTATTAACTGCAACATCTTCTGTTACTGATTTCACTTTTTTGTCTGGCTTTTTAAAAACTTCACTACTGACTAATGGCATTCTAGGTATTTTAAATCCTGATCTATGGGGTGGAGCTTGAATATTTAATGTAGAAAGACTGGGATTATTAATAATTATAGGTCGAGGAACTTCTATAGTATCGTTCGGCAGTAGTTCGGGAGCATATATTTGCAAAGTTTCAATTTTCATTGGTGAATCCTTGCGGGATGGTATTTTCTTTAAAAATTTGACTGGTAGAGCATTGTTGATGGTATTAATTATAGTTTCTGTGTGTTAATAATAATTATTATTAATAAATTAAATTTTATGGTTTTCTTGGTTTAATTAATCTGCTACACCTACATCATTCACGAGACTAAGAAGAGTTAACAATTGCTTCTAAGAGATAAAGCAAGTGATATTTATGCAGTCTGAGATTTACGGGATTTTTTCATCATTAAGTTGTTTCTTTTACGAGTATAATGAATGTTTATTTTTTTCAATAATTTCAGGACCCCATAAATTATCGAAATAATGAACAAATATTCCAGTCTTCCCCAACGAATTCGATTATCGAAAGGAGCAATGAAAGCATTTTATTGAAGAAAAATATTTCTAAAAAGTTCTACAACTCTATATTTACTGTAAAACGAGCTGCTCAAAAAACTAATTAAAACCTTATAACGCAAGGCAGGTTTAGTATCAGTTACAATTACAAGAAAAGTAAATTGAGCTAGCTATACAATCAGTTATATCGCCAATTTATCGACAATATTTTTGCATTAGTTATATTTATTTGTATATCAGTGAAATGAGAACATATATAAAATAATTTTAATTCCAACTTACGCACGATATTTTTAGGAGATTGTTCTTCTTGTCGTTTTTTGTGAGCAAGTTTTCTAGATAGTTCAGCAAGAAACATTGAACATGTTGGTCCTGAATTTTATATTTTATGAATTTTAAAGTGATAAAATAATTAAAAAATATATCATAATGCATTTAAATTTTACCATCGCTTTTTCGCTTTTTGCTAGCCTTAGGATTAGTTGTGGATTTTTTGTTCTTAGATTTATAATTTGTAGGTTTTTCCATTACTAATACTAAAATTATGAAAATGTTGTGTTGTTAGTTACAAAATATTCTTCTTCATTAGCAACAATAACACTCAACTGTATATTTAAAAATATTTTGTCGTATTTTATTATCATAAGATAAGGCGCTATTCCTCCACTTTATCAGTCTACAGATATTTAAAGAATTTCAGAGTCTAAAAACTAATTTGAGAAGTATTCAGGAGGAGAGTTTGTTCTATAAACTTCTTAAACTGTAATTAATTCAAATAAACCTGTATAAAAACTTTACAAATTAGCAAGAAAAGGGTTAAATAGCTTAGACTTAGAGTTTATTTATAAAGTTGTTTACAAAATTTAAAGAATTTTTTAGTTCCCTTCGATAATAATATGCGATGGCTATAATGAATTGTATATAATTTTGAAATACCTTGTTCACCATCGAGGAAGTCCCGTGTGACGGGACTTCCTAATAAATGTTAAATAATATGAATTGGCTTAGTTGTAATACTAAAAATTTATATAAGATATAGAATTAAATGTCGAGATGACATTGTCATTTTCACACACTTATGTCTATTTCGCAATCTATATATTATGTATGACATATTATAAAAAAGGTTCGATATGTTGAGCAATTACTAAGTTAAATAAGGGCATTGTCACATAATCCCAAAAAAGAGGCCAATCTTGGAATAAGAGATAATAAGTGAGAGATCAGCTCTTCGAGGCACGGGGGTCACACACCTCCAATTTCCCAATTTTCCGGGCTATTACTAAGACTTCTTGAACAGAAAGACTCAATAACTAAACTTAAAACTAGCCATATATGACGTGGCCATATGAAAGAAATGAAGTGTTTGGTATAATAGAATTCTTATTAAAGTTAAATTGTGATAAGTTTAATTATGATGTAAGTTTAATTATTGGCAATAGAAAAAGAGATGCGAAAAATTGCGTACTATTTTAGGTATACTTCCCAGGTTATAAACTATACATTAAACAAAGGCTCATGAAAATCTTTTCACAATTGAGGAAAATACTGCAAAATATACACAAAAATATAATATCAAGTACTTCTTCCTTTTGAAATTGGATAAAAAATTCCATGGAAATTCATCCAGGCATTCTCGAATAATACACAATTAAACAAATATTTTTTAATTATTACAAAATAAAAAAATGATTTCTTGACTATAAATAAGCATATATTTTTTTAAGCACATTTTTTTTATTATTTGTTTCATTTATTACTCTAATCTAATTACAAGAAGTTCTATAATATTTGTATAAACACGCAAAGACAATATATTTCAGTATCTTTTTCACCTCTTCCAAGTACCAATAGATTTCTTTTTTTTTTAGTTTAGTAGCTTATTGTTGAGCTTTAGTGCCCAGTAAAAAAAATAGAAAAAAGTTTTTTTGTGTTGATAGATAAACTCAATGCCTATATACATATTTTCTTTAAATATTCGATAACTAGCGACTCACCCTTGCTCCGCTCGAATTCGTCCCTAGTAACGTTTTAACATTTTGAATAGATTTCTTAGAGATGAGATATTTTAAAAAAAGCCGCGGTAAAAAGTATCCTATATGTTGACCCGGATAAACAGCTATCGTCATACAAAATTTCAATAAAATCTGTCCAGAGTTTTTATCGTTATGCAGTCACAGACAGACAAAAATTCTAAAAACTATAGATTCGGCTTCTGTATCGATAATAATGTCTATTTCAACAAGATTTTCCAAAAAATATTTAATGTACAGATTCGGCTTAGTTAGGATTTTATTATATGTATAGATAATGCGTATAGGTATATGATTTTATATCGTTGTCTCCCCGAGGTAAACAAAATTATTCATTCGGTTCCATTTTAATATACTGAGGTAAAATAATAGATGATTTAATAAAAGAATTGCTATATTGTTCATAATTTATTTTGTGAATTGTGCTTTTTCCCTTTTTGAAAATTATATTTTTTATTTACCTGCAAACAATAATAATTATAAATTACGAAAACTTAAATAACAGAAACTATGTATTTTACAAACATTTGAATATTTTCTTATGTACCTATTAAATAACGAAATAAATATATATTTTTTAATTATAGCGTAAGCATCAGCAGAAAAAAATAACAAAATTATTTTACACTTACTTGTATTATCAAATTCCTTATTCCGAAGGGGCGACTGGTTTCTAAAAGAAAAATAAAATCTGTATATTACTTTATTAGATTTACGTGAATATTTGACATTTTTTATGTATTTTTAAATCTGAACAAAAATGTAGTAAAATTCTTTCTCTTGAGTACTTGAGAATACTCTAAGCAAAAATTATATAAATAAATAAATAAATATGTTGGGACAGTAAAATACAGCACCATCTAGTTCAATGGTAAGCTACGAGGCTTGTGTTATGGAAACCAGATAGTTGATACACTACACATATATAACTTTAAATACATACATATTATAAATATAAACACCCATGACTGGAGTACAAACCTTCGTCATCACACAAATGAATGCCCCCAGCGGGACTCGAACCCGCGACCGCCGGCACAGAAAGTAGGGCCACTACAAACTGAGCCAAACGTGTCGTCGTACGTTGAGAAATTGTTTATTTATAGCAAAACTTACGGTTATAGTATTAGATGGTTGACGAGGCGTGGCTGATGTACGCTGTGATTGATTGGTTTGCTCAGGAATCAATTTAGGACTCTGGGATATTTCTGAGTGAGCTTGTGCTAGTGTTGCTGTGACGACGGGTCGCACTTGATTGTCTTCTAAAATAAATATCAGATAATTTTCTTTAGAAAATATATACTTACTATATCCATACTAATATTATAAACGTGACAGTTTGTAAGAATGTATGTATGGATGCATGTTTGTTTGTCACTCTTTCACGCAAAAACTACTGAATGGATTTTGATGAAACTATACAATAATATAGCTCATACATCAGAATAACACATAGACTACTTTTTATCCCGGAAATATGTACGGTTCCCGTGAGATAGATTTGTTTTTGTTTTTAGAGGCAAACCTTAGCGAAGCGAGGGTGAGCCGCTGGTATTGTAATAAAATAAAATAAGTAATAAATTGTCTCTTACATTATGTTAATACATTATAAATAGATGTAAATTTTCAATTATATTTAAGAAACATGACAATCACTTGACTATTGTACTCAAATTATCTGCACTATCTTTTTACACTTGCATATATTATTATTTATATTAGTACTATATTTGCTATAAATATGTTATTTCATGAAAACTGCCATTGGCATCATAGAATTCATCTTTACCGGTAGCATCTGTTAATTTAGGAACTGAATCAGAGACGTCAGTGGATGATGAGGATCCACTTCTTGTTTCTGCTGGTTTATTACAGGATTAATCGTGTCTGTGGTAGGCTTATTCTTCTTTAGTTCGTGAAGTTCTAGCACAAGGGGCTTACTTTCAAACATCCCGGTATTAGATGATGATGAAGAATCATTGGTGTCTGTTAGATTTAAAATGTCGTCTATGTCTTTGTCTACAAAAATAAATTTTATATATTAGAGATAAGGAAATTATCTATACTAATATTATAAAGAGGTAAAGTTTGTGAGTTTGTGACGTTGTAGTGAGTAATCTCTGGAGCTACAAAACCGATTTAGATGAAATTTAGTAAGAAGATAGTTTGAGACCTTGGGAAGGACATAGAATACTTTTTATCCCGGAAATCATCTCGTAAGGAGGTGAAAATAGGGATGAAATTTTCTATGGGGAATCAAGCTAGGGACGAACCCGAGCGAAGCGAGGGTAAGCCGCTAGTATTAATATAAAAAGATATAATGCGATCTATTAGGTATTATAAAATATTTTATTACGCTATCGAAAGTATTTGATGTTTTTCGTATAATTGAGCACAAATCAAGAGATTGAGTACTTTTTGTGTTGCTCAGGTAAAAGTTTGCAAGAAAAACATAGTTTATAGTTTAAAGTTTCATTATAATGGCTCAAGAACATTAATTAACAGATGCAAATAGCAAGTGAAACAAGACCGAGTGGTACCTATATTTAGAAAAAACACCTTAGTCATACAAAAAAATCTAATTTTCTTATTATGTATGTATTGTTCAATACTTAAGTATTGATACATAATAACTTTTGATGATTAAAATTTAACTTATGAATTTTACTTTCAAGATTTAAAGGGCTTTAAGCGATACGTCACTTTTATTATCGTTGTTAGAATCTAACTTCGGTGCACGTGTTGAGTGTAAAACGCTTTGTGCATACGAATAACCAACAGTGTAGATCGAAGTTTAAACCCAATATTGAAAGTTATAAATTTTTGAATTGCATAAGTTTTCAGTGGAATTTGCTAAGTTCAGAAATATGAAATAAAAGTTACGCTAAACATCAAGTTTCTATCTCTATAGACTTTTGTTTTTAGTAAATAGTCATTTATTTTTTATTGTTTTAAACTTTTGTTGATCGAAGGTTTCCAGGAATTCATTTGATTTAATACCAACATAAAGACTAAAGCTAAAATCTTCTACTAAAAACAGATAGTTCCGCTTATTCATATTGAAAGCACCGTACCGTTCTCATTGTCATACGTAGATGTTCAAATGGCAAATAATGTTATAAAATGTGTATGTAAGTACAATTTAAATTAATTTTCAGAGTATTTCCTAAGGAAATTCTATCTCTTGTTAGTTGTTGTTGTAGTGTTAGTAACGTTTCACACACTTTTGTAGGACGTGTCTGCTCATCTCAGTGTGGATACTTTTTCAAATGTTCTGTATAGAGTGAATGCAACTCTAAAGGATTTGAGTATTGTTAAAAACTATCGCCAACTAAAAACAGATGGAACATTCTAAATAAAACTATCTTTTCGGTTTTTTCGCGGATTTAGGTTTTAGACGGTTTTAAGGGTTTATTTTAGATTTTTTTTAAATCATTTTGTGAAATTGTGGGTATTCACTGTCTGTAACAAGTATAAATAATGACCTTTGAGATG